TGTTACTTCTTCCAAGGCTCCAGGGCGTAGCCAGGGCAATATAGTAGGTTCAGCTGGTGCAAAGTTTTTTTGGAAAAATTTTACACGAATTTTTTAACACTAATAGTCAATGTTGTTTTTTAAATTTATTTATTTGGGATGGGCTGGGACCTAGCATGGCCCTCTACCTCCATCTGTGGAAGGCTCCTTCATATGCAAGAAAAGTGAAAACTAAAAAGGGGCTGAGCAAGTAGTTTGAGAAAGCTTATAATGTTTTAATGAGCCCTATTTTACAGGAAGTCCTACTTGCTGTAAGGGACTTTTTCTTATGCAAGGGACTATGCAAGTAATGTTACATGATGTAGGACAGTAATGCATTTACTTATAATTGGGCCTTTTAGTCCCATAATGCGCTAATAAAAGATTAAAAGTTTGTGTTTTGTAGTTGGGGCGAGCAAGCGGAACTTGTGTTTGACAATATGTATGCTGAATTCATGATACCAAGGATCAATGAGGTACTAATTAAACCTGATTTCATATTTTTGGTATAAATGGTATATACTGTAATTCTTTTTTAACAGGTCGATCAATTATTGGCTAAAGGAATCCAAGTGACTGTGTACTCTGGACAAGTAAGGCTACATATTAGTTAATGATTTTGAAGCCTTTAAGTATCAGTGGTCAAAACATGGATATGTCATCATAATTCTTGGGAAATGGTGGGTGTAGCTTGATGTCATCTGTGCCACAAAGGGAACAGAAGCATGGATAAAAAAGCTCAAGTAAGAACGTTTTACAAATTTTTGGTTTCCTATCCTGTTGATATGATAACATTGATTCCCTCGTTCACTCTATATAATTTAATATAAATTGCTTTTATAGTAATAATCATACTTACCCAATTTCAGATGGGAAGGGCTTGAAGCATTCTTGAGGTTGGAAAGAAGCCCAATTTATTGTGGGAGTGATAAAACCACAAGGGGTTTTTTCAAGTCCTACAAAAACTTACATTTCTACTGGGTTCTTGGAGCTGGCCACTATGTAAGTTGTGTAAAAGTTGTACTATACTACTATTGATTGACTCATTGTACTGATGTGTTTATACAAAACATTAGCCCGTACAACTAGTACCGATAGAAAAACAAGTAATAACATGATAAGCAAGGCGAATAATAAGAGATTACTAATAAATTCATAATAAGGTAGTTGGTTAGGCATTGTAGACAAGTGTTAGAAAATCACTATGTCCTACCACATTACTTTCATATTGTAAAGGCGTCGGGCACCCGTTAAGGATGAAAATACAAACTCAGATATCAAAACTAGAGTGTGATCCGGTACATAATCCTGGCTTCGTTTGATCCGCTCTTTTGGTTTACTTTTAGGTTCCGTTGGATCAGCCGTGCGTGGCATTGGACATGGTGGGTAGCATCACACAGTCCTTGGCAAGTTCAAAGTGAAGAGGACAATTATGCATAATGAATGGCACGATATTGATTCTTTTTCCTCATTATTATATAGACTAAATAAAGTATGTTTCATTTGAAACATTGAGGTCTGTACTTGACTACCAATAGTATTTTCAGTCTGGCTGTAGCTAAATAAATCATTTTTACATAATAGTAAAAATGACGGCAGTCCTGTTTCTTTCCCATCATATTACACATGTGATATGAAGCGGGAAGAGCATGTGGCGGGAACGGGCTTGAGCCCACCTTCGTGGGCTGGTTGCGGGCTGTTTAATTAATATTTATTATTCCTTTTATTTTGTTTCCTAATTTAATTTGTTTCCTAGTAGGATTTATTTAGGACTTCTATTCTTATTAGAATTAGAGGTTTCCTATTTCTATTTAGTTTCCTAGAATGATTTAATTAGGAGTTCTATTAGAACTAGAGGTTTCCTATTCTATTTAGTTTCCTAGATTAATTTATTTAGGATTCCTATTCTTATTAGACCTAGAGGGTTATTTATACTCCTTGTATGCTTCATTCTTCAGAATCTGGGAATAAAAGTTTGGTTTAGCCTTTTGGCTTTGGGCAACGATATTTATTTATCGTTGATTATCTGGGCAACGGTTCACCCCGTTGATTTTACTTTTCTGTTCTTATCAATTGGTCCGACCTGCCGGATCCCCGTCCCGCCAAGATGACAAGAACTCAGAACGAACGACTGACGGAATTGGAGGCCGAACAGGCCCTGGTCAATCAAAAGCTCGATTCACAAGGAGAGAAACTGGATGTACTGGCTCGGAAACAGGAGGAGCAGGCCGCCCGGCTTGCGGAAATCGCAGAATCCCTGGCAGCAATCGCAAAGGCCATGGTACCGCCAGCAAAGTCTCCAAGCACGACCATCGAGAGCGGCTCCTCCGCCCACATCGCGACTGCTTTCACCGACGAGGGCGGACCGCGCAGCGCATCCACGACACTGCTTCCCTCATTCGACGGTGAAGACCCAATTGGGTGGCTGGCAAGAGTGGAGCAGCAGTTCGAGCTCAACAGGACCCCACCGGATAGACAAATTGCAGCGGCTAGGGTTTCTATGGAAGGGGCAGCCCTCTATTGGGTGACATGGTTAAAGGCGCGCAAACCCGGCATATCCTGGGAGGAATTTAAGCAAGCCTTGGTGGCTAGATTTGATTCCCGATATCAAGGAAACAGATTTGAGCGGCTATCTGGCGTTAAACAAATTGGGCAAGTGGAAAATTACAATACTTTGTTTGTACAACTCGCCAGTCAAGTACCCGGATTAACTGACGATCATTACTTGGGCTATTACATGAGTGGGCTTAAGGAGATAATCCGAAGCTCGCTGCGATTACTTTGGCGAAACAGCCTGGAGATGGCTATGGAATTAGCTCGCGAAGTGGAGTATAATCTGTCCGTCCAAAGTGGAGAAAGTGGCAGCCTGAATTATCATTCTTCAGGGGTACGTTCCAGCAGTTTTGTAAGGGCAAACACGGGTCCCCCGTTGACTGCCACCGGTGGCAGCTTACAGGGCTCAGGGGACAGCTTTGCGAAGGATAGTGGACAGCCTCCGGGGACAAAGTCAGGGCTGTCTGGGCAGCCTACGACACGATCCCAGTTCACCCGTCTTGCGCCAAAAGAGTTAGCAGATTTGAGGGCAAAAGGATTATGCTTTAGGTGCAAGAAACCATTCACGCCAGGGCATGATTGTCCCTTTAAACAGCTGCGGGTAATGATAGCCGAGGAGGATGAAGAGTTGGACCTCAAGCAGCATGAATTCTGCGTAATAACCGGCCATGAAAGGGTTCATGAAGGAGAAGAAGGATATTTTCCAGTCTATACTATGTCTGGAAATTTCAGCTCCCAATCAGCGAGTTTTCAACCTTGAGGACAAGGTTATTTTAAGGGGGGTGGATTGATATGAAGCGGGAAGAGCATGTGGCGGGAACGGGCTTGAGCCCACCTTCGTGGGCTGGTTGCGGGCTGTTTAATTAATATTTATTATTCCTTTTATTTTGTTTCCTAATTTAATTTGTTTCCTAGTAGGATTTATTTAGGACTTCTATTCTTATTAGAATTAGAGGTTTCCTATTTCTATTTAGTTTCCTAGAATGATTTAATTAGGAGTTCTATTAGAACTAGAGGTTTCCTATTCTATTTAGTTTCCTAGATTAATTTATTTAGGATTCCTATTCTTATTAGACCTAGAGGGTTATTTATACTCCTTGTATGCTTCATTCTTCAGAATCTGGGAATAAAAGTTTGGTTTAGCCTTTTGGCTTTGGGCAACGATATTTATTTATCGTTGATTATCTGGGCAACGGTTCACCCCGTTGATTTTACTTTTCTGTTCTTATCAACATGCAATCTTTGTGAGTTTGTGATACATTTTCTCTCGGAATAAGAAAAGAAACTGAGCGAAATTTAACCGAATAAAACTAATATTGACCAAAACTGATCTTACTATAGGTGTTATGCTTTGCAGTTTAGTTCGTCATCACAGGCTAAACCGATCGAGGTGTGTTGCCTTGTTTGATAACTTGATCAAATGTCTTCTTTTTATAACAAAAAACATTTGAAACATGAGTTATTTTGGAGTATTTGGACCAAGAGAGTTATTCAAGGTTCGGAAATAATAATATTAATTACTAAAAAATTAATGGACCAACAACCCCCATAAGCTAACCTGAATGTGATATCCTGCAAAGTTTGACACATATTGTCTGATAATGTTGGGTTAGACGCAAATCAGAATTCTTTATGAGGGTCAAACTGGCATTGTACACACATTTTATAAACGGGCCATCACATTATAAATAAATTTTTCTAAAATCAATTACGAATAATAAATTATTTGTTTGACAAAATCATTTTGAGAACATACTTTATTTTTCCATTCATTCAAAATATTTCTTCACGTTTATTTTAAAAATACACTTTGTGATTGATATAATTTCAGAGTTTTTTCCCGGAATAATGCTAAATAAATAAATAATTCTCAGAATACTGTTGGGTTAAAAATAATTCCCGAAATACTGCTGGATTAACCGTGGTTAAGGAGAGCCGCCACTTGAAGTGACGGCTTTTGTCTTACAGTACAAGAGCCGCCACTTGAAGAGCCGCCACAAAATGATTTTCTAAGACAACCATAAATGATATTGGGTCCCACCACAAATAAATATCTCCTGTTTTCTTTGAAGTGATATAACTTTTTTATTTGTACTTTGATTGTAACAAAAAATATACCATCATTCATAACTTTTTATTATCTTTCATATGACACCAATATTGAATATATAAAATCAAAAAATCATTTAACACTTCAAATATTACTGCGTATCTGATTTTAAAGTGTCACATATTTTTTTATTTGTATTCCGATTATTACAAAAGATGAAAAAATATATGAAAATTTAATTTTTTTATTATCTTTTATATGGAAGCAATGTTTCATATAGAAAAATAAAAAGAAAATATATGAATTTATGAAGTTTAGGATCATTTTTTACTATGCGCTCCAGATTTTTATATAATCAATATTGATGTCATGTGAAATAAATTAAAACAACATAAATTCTTGTGCGAAAACTATATAAATAAATGTGATGGAGTTTGTGTGATTTTGTTGTAATCTATCAGTACTCTTGATTAATTTTGTGCATGGTAAAAAACGATCCTAAACTACACAAATTAATATATTTTCTTTTTATTTTTCTATATGAAACATCACTTCCCTATAAAAGATAATGATAATGATGATGATGATGATGATGATAATAATAATAATATAATAATAATAATGATAATAATAATAATAATAAAATTTGATATACTCCTTCCGTCCCAATATAAAAGGCACATTTTCCTTTTTGGGCCATCCCAATATAAAAGGCACATTTCCGTTTTTGTCAAACAAAACAGTGTCAAACAGTGTGTAATGTGTTAAGTTGGAGGAAAACTTCAATCACGCAATTTGTAATGTGTTAAAAATTATGTCAATAAGGGACGATCTAGTAAAGGCCTAGAAGGGTATTCGCTGATTCATTTAGCTAGTCTAGCTACAGCCAGTATCAGTTAAGTTGTTTTAGGCCAAGTTTGGTCGATTTTATTGGTTGGTTCTAGGGGTGGACTCGGGCCGGTTCGGGCCTGGCCGGGCCTCGGTTCAGGAAAGGGGAGGCCCGGAACCGGCCCGGGCAACCCCCGGGTCCGGGGGGCCGGGCCTTAGTTCAATTTTTTTTTTTTGCCTTTTCCTAATTAACCCCTAACCCCCCCTCACCCCCAAACCATCCCAAACCATCTGAAATGACCCAAAATACCCAGCCCAACCCAAAAACTTAAGAAAAATTCAAAAAAAAAGAGGCCCGGACCGGGCCCGAACCGGCCGGGCCGGTTCACGTTTTGAGGGGCCCGAGCCCGGACCGGAACCCAGCGGGTCGGGCCTACCCGAACCGGTCACTAACCGAGTCCAGGCCTAGTTGGTTCAATCGATTTTCAAGCTTAATCCTACAGTTTGGTCGGTTTTCATCGGCTTTTACTTTTCATCGGTTCAATTTTCATTGGGTCGATCGGTTTCAGACTTTCAGTTTATCCTTTTTTTTGTCCAGCCTTACGATGAACTATGTAATTGGTATTACTTTAAGATGCAAATGCACAAGTATGTTTAAGAGCATCTTACATTATTTTCAAAAATGTAATTATAAATACTTTAATAGTTATATGTTTCATTATTCTTTTTTATTAAGCAAGTTTAAAATCACTTTAAGATGGTTTTTGACTTTTTGCTAATTTTTGTCACTGAAGGAGGCCTTCAAACCCTCGCCACTTACTGAGCATGGTTTACACACTCCAATCCACTCTATCTATAGCGATTGTAACCTTTATTGTAATAAATGAGTACTTAATATATACACATTTTTAATAACAGCAACAATAATTATGATAATAATTATAATATAATAGGAGCCAGGTTAAGGCCCAACGTACTTGTGTAACTTCTGGTGCAACAATGCTTCTTGATGCATCAACTCTTAAAGAAAGGAGACACCAATTGTCTCCTTTTTTCACATGCTCAGGATTCATTACTGTTTCCCATTTGAAGCTGCAAACCTCATTACAGGCTGAGCTTTCCCATCAGGTATGGCGAAGAGAACAATGGGCTGTGTTGGGCTGACAAAGGGAACGTCACATCTAAAGTAGCCTTTTCTCTCCAGCTGCAATGTATCCCCTCTCTTCAAGTCCCTCATGTTTGAATCCCCAAATGCGCAAGTCTCTTTTTTCGTGCATGGGTTCACAACGTTAACGAAATCTTCTTTTTTCTCGAGCTTCTTTTTGGTGATGATGTAGTCAAAATCAACCAAAGAGAGCTTCAGAAGTTTATCTGTATCAGGGAGCCAAGTGAGCTTCAACTTAGTAGTCTTGAAAGAGCCTTCAGGATGCAACACCCCAGTCAAACTTATCACATTCCCTTGCTCATCTTTTTCTATGCTCTTCACAATGGAATTACCCCAATCCATTAAAGTAACTTCCTCATTGACGGAAATCAACTCTGCATCAGCAAAGTCAATCCAAACTCTCTTCGTATAAGTGGTCACTTTTGTCCCAGCAGGTTCATATTTCTTGTGCTTTGGTATGGTACGTGTAAATAGATCCTCAGGTCCATGACTCAAAGTAAATACGACACGTCTTTCTTCTATAACAGCAGTATGACTGGGACATACAGGATCAATGATCTTCTTATTAATAGCCCAGAGCTTATCCCACTCCATGAGATTCAGATTCTTTGAAGCTCCTTGTTCAAGAATGAACTGTATCAAAGCCTCAATCTTCAATCCTCTGCGGACTATTCCTTGAATGGTTGGAAAATGCGGATCATCCCATCCCTCAACCAACCCATTTTTAACAAACCAGAGCAGCTTCCGCTGACTAAGAAGTGTATAGACCAAATTCAGCCTACTGAACTCATATATATGAACTTTTTGGAACTCCATATCAGTTTGTATCCGGTAATACTGATCATTGCGGTCATGGTACTCACTAGACCTAAGTGCATGAGTAATGCCTTCAATAGCATCAACGAAGGGGCAAGCAAAGTCATAAGTTGGGTAAAGTTTATATGTAGAACCAATCTTGTGATGTGCAGTGTCATTGCAGCGGTAGTATACCGGATCTCTATGTGACTTGTTAAGATCCTGCATATCTAGCTTTCCTCTAAGACAACACATCTTACCCCTTTCAGAACCAACAATCATTTCTTTCCATAATTTCAAATTCTCATAAACAGTGTTGTTCCTATGTATTGATTCTATACCTTTATCTCTTTCTTCCTTCATCTGATCTCATGGTGTATCATCAACATATGCCTTCCCCTCTTGTATCAACTTTTCAGCCATCTCCAGTAGCTGAGGAAAGTAGTCTGACATGTATGTTACAGTTTTGTATTTAATTCCTAGAGTTTGAACATCTTTCAACAGATTATCCACAAACTCATTGCTCTCTTTGTCCGGATTAGTATCATCAAAGCGCAAAATGACTTCACCTTTATACCCTCAGAAAAATACTGGTTTAGCAGCTTTAGAGTGGCCTATATGAAGAAATCCACTAGGTTCCAGTTCCGGTGCAAACCGCAACCGAACCTCACCAACCTTAGCATACGGAAGATCTACCTCAAATGTAGCACCCGCGGGATTGGCGTTTCGGATTTGATGCTCATTCACTTCGGTTGTTGTTTTCACTGAGCTCTTTTTTCTAGTATAGGTTGCAATAACTTCACCTAGAACATCTTCATATGCTACAAGTAATGAATTGAACCATCTCACTAGATTTTGGACTTTGGTATTTATTTGACCTTCTGAGGCTTCCCCATCTCTGTGCAGCTCCTGCAAGGGCAGACCAGACAGCAATATCTGCAATTGAAAGATTATTCCCAACTAAAAAAGTATGTTGCAGCAGGAATTGGTCCACATAACCACATGCTCCCTGAAACTCAGAGCCAGATGCAAAAGTAGGGACATAGTCTAGCCACTCATCTACCTGGGCAGACTCTATTGAATCCTGACTGTAGAATTTAGGAATGCTTGATATACGACCAATATACCTTAAGAGAACAAAAGTTCCTCTCAACGTTGATCCATTAGGTAAAACGAGCATGGGTGGAGAACAAGAGCTGAGGGTTGCATCGGGAGAGAAAGCAACTCCAGAGATTTTTGCAGCAACAATGGCGGCCAGCGGAGGATTATCAGAGGGAAATAGGATCTTGACTTCCATCCCAGGGATTACTGAATTGAGAAATTGGACCCAAGTTCACAACTTTAGTAAGATCACTGGGCAATCTTACTCTATTATTAGGGCAAGAGAAACTGGAAACTGCGAAGTATTCCAGAATCTTTGTGAGAGCAATAAGGGATTAAGGGATTAAGGATGCAGGAGGAAAGCATAAATGTATATATGGTTATGAAATAGAGGAAAATTAACAGAATATAAATGGGAAAAAGAAGTATATTATGAATGTTTAGTGATAATGATATTTTTAATAGTGTTTTTTATTAGAATTATTTACATATTTATGACTAAAATAAAGATTATTTAAAAATGTGACTAGTGACTATAGTAGTAATATAATCATGTTAACTGAACACTACATTGTAATAACTATTAGTTATATTTATGTAAATAAATTTTTATTTCAGTAATATTTTTGAAAAAATCCTTTCAATTACCAAGGGAGAACAATATCTTTGTAGAAGAAATGTAGTTTTCTTTATATTAGGGTTAAGTGTGAGTCACACCAATTATCATCTTGAAATCATCATAATGTCGTTCTAAAGAAAATGACTAGTTCATAACATCTCAACTATTTTTAGCAGAAGATTAGGGGAGAGATTATATTATGAATACTCTTAGGGGGCTGATGGACAGTGTACCCGGGGTAGCTTATCCGAGAGGTTATAATGAGAATAACCTAGAGAGAAGTCAGAGCAAACATGTAAGAGAGAGAGAGACGATTGTATTTATGAACTCGAGATGTTCTGGTCCTTTACAATGGAAAAGGGGTGTTATTTATAGCAGCAATAAATGTGATGAGAGTACACGTGTCAGCAATCTAACGGCCGAGGGTCACCTCAATCGGGTGGCACCGGCATTTGCATGTGCACCGCATTAAATGCGGTGGGTGGATGTGACGCCGCATTAAATGCGGTGGTTCCTTGTCTCCAAAGGGAATCTTCGACGATTGAGTGGTTAGCCGAGGGCTCCCCCTGCGGCCAAGGGTTATGTGTAGCCGAGGGTGCTGTACAGCCGAAGGCTGCTCTAACGCCGAAGGCATGAAAGTGCCGAAGGCTTCCGATTCCTGCCATTTTCTCCCAGTAGCTTCGTATACTCGAATCTGGCTGTGTCAAGTGTTTTGGAGCCTTCGGCCATATTGCCGAAGGCTACCCCAGGCGCACACTGGATTCCTTTGAGCTTGGGCCGCTGTGCTTTGAGCCTCTTGTGCTTCTTGGGCCTGTTGGGCCTGTGCTAGAGTAGTAGGAGTCTGTGGGCCGGGGGTTCCCGAGCCATATACTCCATCAGGGGCGTTTGGTAGGGTGTAAAATATTTACTTTGCATGCGAAGTGTAAGGACGTAAAAAGTTTACACTGTTTGATTTGATTGTTTAATGTAAACTGTAGGGCACTTTTTAAAACATTTCACACTGTATGATGTAAAGTATTTTACGTTGGAGGAGAGTGGTAAAATACTTTGAATGCCTTTTATGAATAACAACAATGACTTTGCGTGCAATTTAAAAATAAATTACACATTTAGCCATACAATGTAATCTATTTTACATGCAAAATGATTGCTTCCCTATACTTTGCATGAAATCACTTCGCGTGCAAATATTTAACGTGTAAACTACCAAACGAGCCCTTAGAATAGTTCCTTTTGAATTGAAAATTATGATAGAAGGAGAAGACTCATACTAATAGGAGAAAATGTAGTCCCAATTGGATTAAGGAATGAGTATAAGCCACACAAATCACCATGAAATCGGATTATGATTTCCTAATTATTTTGATAATAGTGACAGTAATTGTAAAAGATGACTAGTTGTGAGGTTTCGAGTTGGCAAAAGAATAGTTTCTATTTAGACTTAAATGTTGGACTTTATGAGCACACATATTGCATTTGGTGAATGTGTGATGTTGAATAAGCCAATAAGGAGCTTGATTATTGAATATATTTGACAAAATATAAAATGTGAACACACGAAGTCCGTACAATTACGTATACTCAGTTTAGTTCGACTTTGGTTATATACTTTTTTGGTGATTTAGTGTCACCGGCCGTTTTGTGTAATTGGAAATGACATGAGTGCCAATGGAAATTAGAACTATGATCTAATACAAGTTAGTAGGTGTGGAGTGCACACTTGTATATAAGAACTAGTTTAGTTCCAAAGTGTCTACGTTAGTGGAACTCGAGGTATAACTTTCAGTAGACCAGCTCTGTGGTTTTAGACCGAGTTCTAGAACGGTTAGGCAGTCTCCAGCAGTTTCCCAAAAACTGTTGCGGTTATTCTTAATCGTATTACAACTGCCTAGGACGATGAATATGGATATATACCACCATATTTCGTACAGAGGAGAGAGAGGAAAAATATCCAACATATCTTCATCACTTTGGCACTCAAATTAAAGATAACAATCCATATACTCGACTAATTTGGCTCTAGTTCTTGTGCCTAAGTTCTAGAGTGTCCTTAAGGATTATCCTAGATTGAATTTCTTGTAACCCAGGCATAGGGGAGAAATATCAATTCGGAAAGTGAACTTACACAATCCTTAAGATATCCAAGTACTCGAATTATCACCCCCTACGTGAGATACCCCAACAATCGAATTGATATTTCCTTTGTGATAATCATGAGTACCATGGAAGAGATGACATCCAAGTTCAACAAATTGGACAAGTTTCAAGGGAACGATTTCCGTAGATGGCAGAAGAAGATGCACTTTCTTCTCACCACGTTGAAGGTTGTGTACGTGTTGAGCACTCCAATGCCGGAAGTGATGGAAGATGAAACCTTGGAACAAACTAACTAGGAGGCGCAACAAGTGGGAGAACGATGACTACATATGTAGAGGCCACATTCTTAACGGTATGTCCGATGCGTTATTTGATATTTACCAAAACTTTGAGAGTGCGAACGAATTGTAGTAAGAAGTTCTTGGTGAATGATTTTAATAATTATAAAATGGTTGACTCAAGGCCGGTTATGGAACAATACAATGAACTCCTTCGTGTTCTTGGTCAATTTAAACTCCACAAGATAGGTGTTGATGAATCCTATGTCGTGTCGAGTATAATTGACAAACTTCCACCTTCTTGGAAGGATTTTAAACGTTCTTTAAAACATCAAGATGAGGAACTGTCATTGGTTCAACTTGGGAGTCACTTGCGCATTGAGGAGAATCTTTGTGTGCAAGAGAATGACCAAATTATGGGTGAAGTTGAATCTATACTGTCTCATGTTCACTTGGTTGAGGATAATAAATCTAACCCGAAAGATAAGGGGAAAGGCAAAAAGCGCAAGTATGAAGACCATGACAAACCCAACAAGATACTGAAAGGTTTGGTTTGTTGGAGGTGTCAAAAGGTTGGACATGTCAAGCGTGATTGCTGTGTGAAACTGAACAAGAATGGCGCTGGAACGAGTGGCAGTGGACAGGAACGGTCTAAGGACCTGGTTCCACGGAAAGGGGGTCAGTTCCTGACTAACTTTGATAATTCTATCCAGAATTATGTATCACTCATTCCAGAATCGTTTTATGTACATGATGATGACTGTGCATGGTGGATTGACTCGGGGGCTACGATCCATGTGTGTAAGGATAAAGGATGGTTTGAAGACCTAGAACCAGTGGAGGTCGGTTCCTTATTACGCATGGGAGACGAGTCAATGGTGCCTATCTTGGGAAAGGGTGTAGTTGTTTTAGAATTTACTTCTGGGAAAACAATTACGTTGTTTGATGTTTTGTATGTACCGAAGGTTCGAAAGAATCTTGTTTCGGGAAGTATGTTGAATAATTTAGGGTTCAAACAAGTGATTGAATCCGATAAATATATTCTGTCCAAGTGTGGTGTGTTTGTTGGTTTTGGATATTTATCAAATCGCATGTTTCGTTTAAATGTTGTGAATAAATTAATTCCTAGTGATAATTCTGTTTTTGTGGCATCTTCCATGAATGATTGTATGATTTGGCATGCTAGACTAGATCACATTAATTTTAGAAAAATGCATGAAATGTCTAAAGATGGTTTAATTCCTGCTTTTGATATTTATGATGATAAGTGTAGGACTTGCATGCTTACTAAGATCACAAAACAACCGTTTCGTAATGTTGAAAGGAATTCGGCTATATTGGATCTTGTACATAGTGATCTATGTGACTTTCACTCAACTCCTTCCCTTGGCAATAAAAAGTATGTTGTTACTTTTATTGATAATTCGACTCAGTTTTGTTATGTGTATTTATTACACACCAAGGATGAAGCTTTAGAGAAATTTAAAGTGTATAAAACCGAGGTTGAATTGCAATTGGGTAATCCAATTAAATGTCTTAGGACTGATCGGGGAGGAGAATATATGGATCCCCATTATTTTCAATCTGTTGGAATCATTTATGAGACCACGGCTCCGTATACACCACAACAAAATGGTGTGGCCGAACGGAAAAATCGAGTGTTAAAGGAAATTGTTAATTCCATGCTTTCCTACTCGGGTTTGAGTGAAGGGTTTTAAATAGGGTTCCAAATAAAAGGAACAAGACAACCCCATATGAGCTTTGGTACAAGAAAGCGCTGAATTTGAAATATTTTCGGGTTTGGGGTTGTAGGGCGATTGTAAAATTGGCCGAGCCCAAAAGAAAAACTTTGGGGGAAAGGGGAATTGATTGCATATTCATAGGGTATGCTGAACATTCCAAGGCTTATAGGTTTTATGTAATAGAACCTAATGATGCGGTAGCGGTTAACACCGTAATTGAGTCTCGGGATGTCATCTTTGATGAGATGAGATTTTCATCAATTCAAAGTCCAAAGAACCTAGTTCCAGGCACTAGTGAGGTGCAAGTTCCAGAATGTTTGGATGGTGTTTTGAATCCCGAAGCACCACAAATAAGGAAAAGGAAACGAGGCCGCATCGTGGAAGACTTTGGTCTTGATTTTCACTTGTACTTAGTGGAAGGTTCAAGGGACGAAGCGGGGGTACAATATTCATATTGTTACCAAGTTGAGGATGATCCAAAGACCTTTAAAGAGGCAATGGAATCCCGAGATGTTGCCTTTTGGAAGGAGGCAATTGATGATGAAATGTCATCAATTATGGAGAACAACACTTGGGTGTTGTCGGATTTGCCACCGGGTTCTAAACCCCTAGGTTGCAAATGGATCTTCAAAAAGAAGATGAAAGTGGATGGA